CCTCGTGCGTCTTGCCGCATTTCCTGCAGCGGCCTCGTCCCTGTTGGCCTTTCAGCCCCACATCTGATCCCTTGGGCTTCTTCCCCGAAGCCCCTCCTGGCTGTCCCTCCTCTGCCTTCCGTTTCTGGATGTGCTCCAAATCTATCTCCTTCTCCCTCGCCCTAGCAATCATGGAGTCCAAGGTGGGGCAAGCTGAAAAACTAACGTGCTCCCGGATATCAGCCCGGAGCATGTCATGATAACGGGTCCTCCTCATGTCCTCATCGCCCGCATATTGGGGCACCAACAGTGCCCTCTCCCGGAACTTGGCAGTGATCTTCGCCACAGTCTCAGTTGTTTGTCTCATGTCCAAAAACTCCCTGGCCAGTTGCTGAAGCTCGACAGCCGGTGCAAACTCTGCCCTGAACCTGGTCACAAAGTCCGACCAGGTCATAGCCTCGATAGCTGAGGCTCCCAAAGAGTCACCCACTGACTCCCACCAATCTCGAGCTCGATCTCGTAAACACCCTGTTGCATACCTCACATTCGACCCCTCGGGGCAGAAGCTAGTCAATTGTGCAGACTTGATGTCTACAATCCATCGCCTGGAAACAATGGGGTCCTTCACCCCGTGGAAATCTGGCGCACCACTGCCCCTGAAGTCCTTAAAGGATAACGTGCGAGATCCCGACTGGCCAGATGCCATGTCGCTCCTGAATGCCCTGAGGCGATCCTCCATCAACTCGAGGATCCCTTCCTTGATCTACCCGAAGATAATGGGGGTCGACTCAAGGATACCTCTGGTGATCTCTGATGCGATGAACTCGTGCAGCCTCTCATCTACTGGCTCGGAACCTAATCCCGAACCCGATCCCTCTCCTAAACTGCCAACTGCTGGCCTCGGGTGTAGTACCACCATTCTGAAATACAAAGAAATAACATCTGTTAGCGATACTGATACCCCTGGAGGGATCCCACCCACTACAAGTTCCCTAGTCTTATCTTAGCCTTCCTCAGTTCGGGTACGGATCCTCTGCTTTCAGTAGTACGGGTCCATACTACCTTCCACATCTATCCGTACCTTCCCCAAGGAACGCCTCGACTCAACCAGGTCCCTTTCCCTACCGCTGATCACTGCTACTCTTTATCCTAGGCTTACCCTAGGAAACCTCTGACTCCACCCAACCCAGTCCTCAGCTGTTGAAGGCCTCTTGGTGATGCCAATTAACTATTACCTGAATACAATCACATGTGCTGAGGCTCGGATAATCCTTCGAGTAAGGGACTCATCTCTACAACGGTTAAGACTCAAACAACAGCTACGCAATAGAGTCAAATCCAAGACTCTGAGATTATTCAACCCTGATCACATGTGACTTTAACGTATTCACCTAACAGTTAACTCCAATCACTTCAAGGCCCACATAGCACAAAGCAAACAACATTTGGACGTAAGAAAAACAATGTTAAGCAACTCTATCCTCGAAGAGAGAACTGAACCAGCATACAATGCTAAACTCGTACTATCAGGAATAACCTAAACAGGCTACCCTACTGCTGTCTACTCAACTCTAGCATGCAACTCTTTCATATACTGAAGCAATAAAGCAGGCACATAAGGCATCACTCCTAGATCCTTAGTCCTATTCTAGCATGCTGTTCTATAGAAACTGATAAACATAAATAAACTTGTATGGGTACATTGGGGAATACTTACTTGAGCTTGGCCGGTCGCGCACATCACACACATTGTTCTTTCTTAAAACCCTTTACTTAACCTTTTAGAAAACATTTTCTCTTTCCAAAATCTTTTAATCCATCGATTTGAGTTCAAACACCCCCAAAGGTGTGTCCGAATCCCTCAAACCAAGGCTCTGATACCAACTTGTAACGACTTAATTTTCACGTCCAAAAATTTCGTGTTTAAAACATTACTTTAGAAAACGTTAATAATTAAAAACATTGTTTGATCAACCACATCACATCGTAAACCATGTCTAAAAGCCAAATCATACAACCAATCAAAATATCAGAGTATAAATCCCAGGGAAATCTAATAGATGCGGAAACCAGCATGTGTGCATGATGTGCCGCTACCGTGCCAGCTCCTTCCCCTTCGATGAAGAGGTACCTGAAACCAAAACTGTAAACTGTAAGCACAAAGCTTAGTGAGTTCCCCCATTGTACCACATACCATACAATCACATAACATACAAAAATTTTCAGGCATATCTGGGTGCCCGATCTACCCCTTCGGTCCTCTCGACCGGATACTGCCTAGCATATCTGGGTGTTGGCCTCCCCTTCGGTCCTCTCGACCGGATACTGCCTAGCATATCTGGGTGCTGGCTCCCCTTCGGTCCTCTCGACCGGATACCGGGGACTATTTCACCCCTACTACTACCACATAACACATATATCACATAGTCTATCTAGCATGGCTGGGCGTGACCGCCCCTTCGGCCCTATCGACCGGTGTTCTGGGGGACTATCTCCCCTACTGTCACTAACACATAAACATATCACAGGTAGTAGCAACCCTAGATGAATATCACAAAGACAATCATCTAATCACACATCTCCTACCGGTGGGCCGGCATTGTGGCCTTAGACCCACCGCTACTGGAAGGTAACTCACCTCGTAGTAGCTGCTGATCTGTGTGGGAATAGTCTGTCTGCTGCTGCTGCTCCGGAAATCCTCCGGCTGAAATTCCCACCAAACACTTAGTCAAATACTGCTAACTGTCCTTTGGGTAAAATGACCATTCTACCCCTGATCATGCCCTAAGTCAAAGTCAGAGTCAACTTTCAGTTGACCCGACTCGCCGAGTTGGCTCGCCAACTCGCCGAGTTGGCTCGCCAACTCGCCGAGTCCATGTCCAAACGACTGACCTGAATTCTGCTTCTACTCGTCGAGTTAGGCGTTGACTCGACGAGTTCTCCTTCCAAACTGATGTTCAAGTCCTTCATCCTACTCGCCGAGTTGTATGAACAACTCGCCGAGTTCATCTTCATCCGATGAACAATTTATACTGTGACTCGCCGAGTTGTATGAACAACTCGCCGAGTCTGTTCTTGATCTAAGGAGATTGCCTTGAACTCGCCGAGTCTGGGCATCGACTCGCCGAGTTCCATTATGGGTGAGTTTTGGCTTCCAACTCACCGAGTCCACCCTGGACTCACTACACAACTCGACACAGCTAAAAGGGGACAATCTCGGAGACTCGCGACCAGACTCGCCGAGTCAGATGAGCGACTCGCCGAGTCTGCTTCATGCAAGAGCCATAAACGCGATTTTGCTCGAATCCAGTCCATGCCATTCGTAGATCTGGGCTCCTAGAGCATGAATAACACGTAAAGTTTCCAACTTTACGTGTAAATATCCATCTATGAGGGTTTTAGGGTTCAAAATGCACCAAAAGAGTAGATCTAAGGTTTTCATGCAACATGGGTCCATAAAGGCAGTAGATCTGAGCTCCTGGAGCTCAACCATGCCTAGATCTAGAGGTTACTCAGCTTATTACGAACCCCCACACATACACAAGCTTGGAAATGGTTCAAGAAAGACTTTAATGGAGCTATAAGGGACTATAAGCATGAAAGCAAGGGGAAAATCGAGTCATACCTTAGGGAACACACTGAGAAAGCTCAAAGATGCTTGACCTCCTCTTCTTCTTCTTGATCTACTCTTGTTCCCACTCCAAAATTTCAAGAGAGCACACCAAATGCTTCAAACTCACAAGGAAACAACTCTTGAAAAAGGTATAGAGCTCTGAGGGTGAATGGGGGTGGAATGAGAGTTTAAATAGGGTTCAAACCCTTGAAACTTAGGGTTTCATCCAACAACGGTGACTCGCCGAGTCCAGGATATGGACTCGCCGAGTCGCCAACTTATAACGTGTCCCGGGTCCCGGCTCTACTCGGCGAGTCGGACCTATGACTCGCCGAGTCCAAGGCTAAAAATGGAAAACACTCAAATAAGATTTACATACCAGGAACCAGGTGCTACATAATATGTTGGCTTTTGGGAAAATATTTATTGGAAGCCCCTTTTGTTAATATAATCCCTTTTGTTACTATGCAACTGTGTTGGCTTTTAGGAAAATGTGAATTGAAAGCCTCTTTTATAAACATCATGGTTGGCATAACTATTATTTGTCAATACTTTGGCTGTGTGAATATATATATATATATATATATATATATATATATATATATATATATATATATATATATATCAGCCATATTAACTTAATTATTGATTCTTATGACTATAGCTGACAAAAATCGACCCAACCCGAACCCATCCCAAATTTAGCGGGTTGGGTTGAGACTTACAACTCATTTAAGTTAAATGGGTCAACCCGTTTAACCTATTTAATTAAATAGGTTGGGTTGGGTAAAACTTACCAACCTATTTTCAACCTGCCAACCCATTTAACTTTAATGTATATTTAAGTTAATAATTATGTGAATATTAATGCATTAGGATTGTGCTTTTGTCGTACTTTGAAACTTTATTTATGTTTGGAAGTAATTTAAGTGGTGTAATCTTTAGTTAATTTATTTATTTAAATGGGTTAACCCATGTTTAACTAATTTATATGGTAGGTTGAGTCGGGAACTATATAAACATGTTAACCCGGTGACAACCCATTTATGTAAAAGGTTGGGTTTGGTTGGAAATATCAACCCATTTAAATAAATAGGTTGGGTTGGGTTGAAAACTCAACCCAATTAATAAATGGGTTGAACCCGAACCTAATCCAGATCGACCCATTGTCAGCTCTACTTATGAGGAATTCTATGTATATCTCTTGTTTTGATCAAGTTTTATCCTGAAAAATTCAAGTCGAGTAATTGTTAAATGCTTGAAAATGATAGCATTCTTTCCAAACAGCATTGCAAAACATAATTTTCATTCAAAAGATAACATTCAAACTACCATTACATCTTCTACTTGTTATTGAGATTACATTTATCAATTGTCATTTGAAAAGATGAAACCAAAACACATAAAATTACATCATCATATACCATACAACTGCAAACAATGAGACCCAAAACACAATCATGAAATTAACACCAGCTAAGCCATCTTGATGTGCCATATGAAAACCTTGTGCCACAGGTTCCGCCGCTACTTCTGCCACATGTTCTTCTACATATTCTTCCACAAAATCTTCAAATCCATCATGATTGAATCCATTTCCATGTGGTAAAAACCGAACAACATGTCTTTGTACCACTGGTTTGGTAATGGAGGGTCTACCCAAGCAAAGTATTTGCAATCCATTTTAGGGTCCTGTATTACACAAAATGAGTCCAATTTCAACAGAAATGAGGTAGGAATCATGAAAGAAAAAAAAAACTACAAACCCTGAAATTGGGGCATCCAATACACCTTCGTTCAAGATTTTTATCACTCCATGAAGTCCATTTGCCAACAGGATCTCCACAAAAGCATTTTGACCTTAAGCCTTTCCTCATCGATCGACTTCCTTGACTACTTCCAATAGAAGAGGAAGACGCCATTTTTTCTTTCAGGGGGTTCCAGGGCTTGGAGCATAACATGTGCTTAAATACAACATATTCAGCCACATAAGGAAATCATTTAACGACATGGCATCCACCTAAGCAAGGTGACCGACTAAAATAGTTGTACCGGTGAAAATGGGTCGATTTGAATAAATTATCCGATATTTTTCTTTTTTCGTAAACAAAAATTAATTTGGGACTAGACCGTAAAATGATCCAAAATTTTAGGATTTTTTTTGGAAATTTCCCCTAAACATATCATAACATTGTATCACATAGTTTACCATATAGCTAAAATTTAATAACAATTTGCGTTACAATGTATTAGCAAAATAATAGTACCCCTTCAGTTTTCACTGTTGAAAATTGTAGTGTTCATGCGTTCTTACTATTCTCTAAGGATATGAGAATCCATATGTAAGGTTTTAGATTCAAATATGAGCATCATCTTCCTTGTTTCCGGAACAATCCGATTTACCTTCCTATATTTGAAAAGGACATATTGGTGGATGCTCATTGATGTTGTTTACTGTTTTTGCTGAGTGTCTGAGATGCTAAACAAAACATCACTATCAAGCATAAATGGTATTCTCGTTAACAAACATATTTCCTAATTAAGAAGTGTGTTTGACATTACACCTATGGTGGCAGACATAGGGGGTTTTCGGAATGGCCGGTGTAACCCCTCAAATTTAGAGCACATTGTAATTTTTTTTGGAAATTTTCCAGGATGCCACCCTTAAAATCATGTGTCACCCCTAATGTTTTATCATGCGTCCACCACTTTCTAATTATATAAAATAAGCTTAACGAGATTTATTATCAAAAAGTGTAAAGTCATAGTAACCTAGATTGACCAAGTCATCCATTACGCTTTAAATCCATATCCCAATTAAAAACTTGCATATATTGTGATGTTTTCCATATGCATTCTTAGATCTCCGATGTTTCCTATATTTCCTATAAACAAACTTGATCTTGATGTAGTTCAAGCAAACTCAAATATAAACAACTCTCTCTCTCTCCTCCATCCCTCCCTTTCATTTAGATACCACTTCTAATTTATTGTTCAAAATCACATTCTTCTAATAAACAAAACCTAAAAATATTACGTCTCTTTTTTAAAAGCATATTTGTCACATTGGTAGTTTTCTACCATTTCTTCAACTTCTGGATCCTTTTTTGGTAAAAGATCTACCTTGATTTAAAATTTGAAAAACTAAATCCTATCCTAATAGCAATATAGCATTGTATTTTCATAATTAGTAGAGTCTAACTTTTAAAAATACTAAAAAATCTCTTAAATTGTAATGTATCTACATTATCCTTTTATCTTATTTGCCTGATCCTCCGTTTAATTTACATATCATATATAAGAATTTTTTTTTTGTTTATATAAAATTTTTAAAAATAAAAACCATCGTTTCCATTTATTATAACCTAGTAACTACATACATAGATGCAAATTTGAATACGTTTATTGGAATCATCCTTAATAAATGAATGTTTTTTTGCCACTTGTTCTCTTCTCATTCATTTGGACACATGGCATTTTCTAGATTTTTAAAATTTTTTATTTTCCACTTATCATTTTATTGTATTTTTCATTTTATTAAATTAAAATTCCACATTTAATGTGTAAGGTAATATATATGTAAAGTATTTATGATAAATAATTTATATATGTAATGTATTCAATACATTAAAGTCTTATTAATTTTAATAATTCAAATTTTTCTCATTTTTCTTATAAATTCAAACTTTTCAAATTATTAAAATTTTATATTTGTTTTTTTTTTATTTAAACTCATATAATACATGGGTTTCACACCTAATTTCTAATAATCAGCACATTGAATATTAACGCATATTTATCAGATATAGTGAAGTAGAAAAGTTGATTTTTTTATTTTATTTGAAAGGCGGAGTAAAAAATTTGATATTAACACAATTAACTTTCTTTAGTTTAATTTCATCAAACCCTTCACTTCTCGAGTATCTCTCTTTAAAAACTTTTTTTTTTTAATTTTTTTTTAAGACTCTTCTTGTGGAAAAACAAGAATAGGACCCAAAGCTTACATACCAACTGTCCCATTTAACATAACATGTGTACCAAACACCTCATATCACATACTGAAATTACTAGTTTTAGGGATATATATATATATAAAAATTCATAGTTATTCATCTAAGCAATCTATCATTAATGTCGGTTTCCTGCTTCCAAAATATGGGTGTTATACTAACATAACACCCATATTTTGGAAGATAGTATTTCACAAATTTTCGACATGACCTTTACATAAAGTCATCCATTCCCAAAAGAATCCAACATGTTTTACACTTGTAATTAAAGACTATTACAAAAATTTACATTTCTAAACTATATATTTACATGCCAACCACTCAACAAAATCTCCCATATATACAATTAATACCTTCTGTAAAATGATCATCTTCTTAAAGCATGAGATCAACATGAGATTATCAAACACTTGCTATGTCATCATTTGCTTGTTGTCTTTATTAGTTCTCAGATTTGTACCTGAAACACACATCCATAACACAATAAATACAGGCATTATATAACATAAAACATCAAGATCTCTAATTAAGATCTCTCAATCATACGTGTAATCAAAATCAAAATAATTATCAACTCGTGTAAACGTAAGTGATAACAAAGCATGACTTACATCCATTTACAACTGTATCTTTTCTCTTTCCTTTTCTTGTTACAACCTTATTTATTTTCCCAATTTGATCGTTATATTGTATTTGGTCTTTTGACATAACAAATCGCACATATAGGCACACACGTAAAGCAAGAAATTTGGTACTTATGTGAATATTCTTGATAACATACGTTTAACTTTGTCTTTGGATAAACTACTTATGTTCTATCACGTCGCGTTTTAAATCTAAAAAACCCCAAAGTTACAACTTAAAGGGTTATAACTTATAAACATTCAACACCATATCAATATACCGATTTAAAAACAACCAAACAAAAAGGATGCTCACGAGATAAACCAAAAAAACATGAACCTTAGTCAACACTTTTGATATTACTCTCTATTACTTCTTGCAATATATGATATTTAACATATATATATAAGGTATGAAACCATAAACTATACTAATTTTATCAAGCATTAAAAAAACTAGAACTTGCAAAGATTCAAAACGCCTCCCGAATGACTTCAAATGAATTCAATCCGACACAAAGCGGAGGCACGGAGGAACTTTAATAACTTGTTACGAATATTAGGATTGATTTTATGAGCATTTATGCTCAACTTCTCCAAATGAAACGATTGTTCCAACATATACCTGATCAAAGGGAGCTCTTCTTGTGTGATTGCTTCTTTGTTGAGTATTTTGATTTCCTTCATTTTATGCCGCAAACAATCTGGAGGATCTAATAGTGGGTCCCAGTTCATGTTAAATGGATGTTGTTCACGCGGAAAAGGTACAAGTCCCTAGTGAATGATGATAAACAAATAAATACCAATAATTACCCATTGGAAAGCAAAGAAAGTGTTGTGTACACAAAAACTTACATCCATAAAAGTAATATGCTCTAGATTAGGCATTTTTTCAAAAAGAGTTGGCAACAAAAGCCAGCCAATTCGAGAGTCAACACCAATCACAAGTTTGACCAAGTTATCGAATATGCCTATGGTTACAGCATCCGCATTGTGGATAGCCTGTATAAAGCAAATAGAGTCATAGGATATATCTAAAATGGGGATAATTAAATGCATAAGGTAATGTTTGTGTACTATTGAATGTAATTAGTGGTTACGGTTTAGGATTAAAATAATAAGCGAAATATCTTGAATGGATAGAGAAAGATACCGTTAATGTTGAATCAGTCAAGGTCAATGATTTGACCGATGATAGGGTTGGAAGAAGATATTCAGTATTGCGAACAGCTGGGGTCTTCATGTAAACTTCTACAAGAGACATCAACGGATTTGGAAAAGTGTAGTGTGATGAAATTACATCCACAATGTACATGTATTCTAGGTTAGGAGCGTCAATGACAGCTTTATAATCCCCACGAACACACAGTGAAAATGACATCCTTAATCTCTTTAAAGAAGGCGATGAGACCTTAAAAACCTCCAAATTGTCTGAGGAACCGATTACCTGTCTCTCCACAAACAGTTCTTCTAAAACAGGACACCCTGAAATCAGATTTGTTAGTGATTGATCGCCCGAATAAACAACGGATACCAGATTGATTTTCTTCAGACAAGGAAAAAGCAACTCATCTTCAGGCACATCTAAAACGAACTCTCCTCTCAAAGTTAACCCAACGAGTGCATTGCAACTCCTAAACAAATTCCAACAGAACTTAACCCTAAATCTATCAGCGGGAAACCTAAGTTCAATTTCTTGAACCTTATATTTAACAATAGCACAAAGCCACTCATAAAAACGATTGTAATCGCAGTTCTTTGAACAGTAAAGATAGAACCTATTAGTATGCATAACACCACGAAAAGCAATGACTTGATCAACTGAATCGTGAAATTTCTTCACTTCTTCAGCTGACCAACAAAAGGGCATAACGAAACGGAGATTTGGGAGAAACGCCCAGATGTCCTTCCACCTGTTCGACAAAATGCGTGTCCGATTCGCATCAGCTTCTGGGAGAAATGAGAGGATGTGTGTGAGTAGTGCGTCTGGCAATTTGCTAATGATATCTTGTTCTTCTTTGATTTCCGAATGCCTATGCCGTTTCGACATAGCGCAAAGTTCGATTTCTTGAGGAAATGAGAATTGGGATTCTAATTCAAAACAAAATTCTAGGGTTTTGAATTGGGGGTTTTTGGATTTCTTTTGCCTAGTTAAATGTCCAGGGGAGGTTTTGTTGTTGTCTGGATACAATTTTAAAATATTTAAACTAGAAAATGTTTGACTTTTCAAAGAAATATAATGATATTAGTTGGTCAGTATTCTATTTTTAACATAACATTAATGGTTTA